TGCTGAGCCGGCCGGGGCCGGGGCCGCTGCGCGCAGGGCGGGGGAGGCTGCGGCGCCTGAGCGCCCCCCGCTTTTGTCAGGGGAACCAGGAATCACCAGCAGCCGCACTTAGAAGAGCAACTCGGCTCCAACTTCCAGCAGCTCCCCCGCCGCGCTAAGGAGGCCCCGCCGGCCGGGGCCCCATATGAGGCCCCAAAAATGCAGGTGCCAGAGCCAGCTCCGCGCCTGCCCTCGCCTGGGCTACCCTGCGCCTCCGCGCCCAGCCCGCTCCTTTTCGGCCCTGGCGGGGGATGCGAGGAGAGCGACACCCCCGCAGCCTCAAGCCCTGACAAACCTGGCCTTGTTTTCCCCTCCAGCCACACACCTTTTTCTTTGCTTTTTTCTTTTCTCTTCCCCCCCCTTCTCTTTCTCTCTTTTTTTGTTGTCTGTCTCCCCGTCCTCTTTCTTTCTTCTCTCTCTTTCTCCACCCCTTTCTTTCTTTCACGGTATAGCAAATGTTGAACAGCTGGTTACTGAGGTGTGGCTCTTCCCCCCCCCCCCATACACTTCCCTGACATTAGAAATCCAGGTCTTGCATTGGAAATCTCTGCCATGAACTAGAGAAGTAGTGGTATTAAAACCAACCAAACAAAGGAAACACTAGCTAATTAAACTGTGGGGGCTTTATTATTATTCTGTGGCTATTAAACTAGCATAAAATGGCCATACCCATAAGCTATGTCATATTAATGAACTGACAGGCTGGAGTGGTGAAGCTAATTTAAAAAAAAAAAAAACAAGAGTAAGAGAAAACGAACAAGAAAGCAGAAGCCTGGGCTACCTTATCAAGCATGAGTTAGCTCATCCCACATCCCCTCTTTGGTTGCCTCAACTCAGGACCAATGTTATCTCAGATTTAATTAAACTGAGGCATATATATGTACATGTGTGTGTGTAGATATGCCTCTGTACATGGATTTTGCAAGCTTTCAAATATTGATGTGGCCTTGTTTTGGTTAACATAAATACATAAGGAAATATGCTTTTAATATTATCATCATCATCCCAATAGCTGCATCCCTTTAATTAAGGTCTGTCAAAATTCCTACTCCTCCTGGGACCTGCCAAGGAACAAAGTAGGACAGAGTTGCCCTTCTTGCTGTTTTCTTAGTAAGAATACCAGCTACAGAGCAGGAGCTAGATAGAACTGAGCCTGACTTTCAGGTCACTGCATGTGTTAATTTGGCTGGCAAATGAGGCATCATTTCAATCTGTAAATGTAAGGTTTGATTTGGACTCAGTGAACAGAGTCCCACCAGCCCATTCTAACTAGTATTTGTGAGAGCTGTTTATAAATTCCAATTTGCAGCAAATATTTTTTACCCGAGAGAGAACATGGAGCATCCTTTTTTAGTCTCTGGACTAGTAACAGGTTATATTGTATATAGCTTTCCAATGTAATAATTAGGAGAAAGGCCAAAACTTCAATGGGAATTTGGCCTGCAGTTCCAATTCTGCCACCATTACATTGCTTAGTATCTTATTATACCTTGGAGCCAGTTGCATAGTTCTCAATTAAGACACTGACTCAAATTAAAGATTTCAGTATTGGGATGATTGGTCAGAGAGCAAATGGTCAATCCCAGTAAACTTTTTTATCCAGTGCAACATATGAATTTGTTCATTATTGAGCAACCAGAGGAGGTAGAAGTGTGTAATGTACATATACCAACATGGAATTTGACTGCCTACAGAAAGCTAGAATTAAAGCAAATTGAATTCCTTAGTCTAAAGTTGAATGGTGTTGAATTTAACAAGTACACTTTGATCACTTGAATAGCATCAGCCAGCAAAATGAGCACGAGAACTATTAGATTAAGACAGAAAAGACTGCCCTATAGTTTTTTTTTTATTCTGTGGTTATTAAACTAACATAAAAACAGCTATACGCACAAGCTATGTCATGATAATGAATTGACAGGTTGTAATCATGAAGCTAATAGAAATTTAAAAAAAAAAAAGGGAAAGAGAAAGCAAAAGGCAGAGCTAGCTCATCACGCATGAGTTACCTCATCCCACATCCCCTGTTTGGCTGCCTCACCTCAGGACCAATGATAGCTCATATTTAATTGCAATATAAAATGTAGGGTTGCATTTACAGAATTATATAAATGAATGAGCATGTACCAGTGTCACGGCAAAAAAAACCTGCATAGTTACTTGCTGAATTGGATAAAATCCTTTTAAATGGTTTTTAAAAATAGTTATAGGAATACAAATGGAGACTGACTCAGTCCTGCAAATTTAGGGTATGTGTAGACAATTGCTTATCTTGCTGGGATCCTATGATCCCTGCTGACTTTCTGCCCCTGGGGCAGGGGGCTGGGCTCAATGATCCTCTGGGGTCCCTTCCCTTGAGGGAGGTTAGATCAAGTCAAAAATGGCCTACAATCTAAAGTAAGTAGGGATGAGAGAGGCAGGGGGGGAAGGCTGTGGGGATCAGGGAGGGCAAGCGGGCTTAGAGGGATCAGGGAAAGCAGGGTTTCCTGAGGGATTTGGGGGAAATTGGGGGGAAGGCAAGTAGGGTCCATGGGGGGGATAAGGGGAGCTAGCACAGTTTAGTAGGCGAGTGTGGGGCAAGTGGGGTCTGCAGAGGGATGGAGGTGCTCTCTCTCCCTGGACCAGGGGCTATTTTTAGCACCCCCAACCCTCTACCCCTGGATGAACAATTCCCCCCTCCAACCAACCCCTCCTATCCTGCCTGCTCCTCCCACCCCAACTTACTTCCAGTATTCTTCAGTATCAAAAGCTATTTTTACAAAGTGTTTTTAATGTCCTGATTGTCCAAAACTCCTTTTTCCCTGTTAAATATTCATATAAGAGGATAATTCATCAACCAAAATCTATCAAGCAAATTGGTTCTCAAGCAAACTCCTGAAGATCCATCTGGAAATCTCTATCTTTTCTCTCTCTCATACCCAAGAAACCCTTCTCTCACCCTAGATGTCTTTACGAGAGTCAGGTTTGGA